CCCTTTACTGCTTCCTCTGTTGGACTGCTTTAGGGAAGATGGGCTAGAGTAATAGTTTAATCTCTAGCTATTTCATGCTTGGCTTCACTTTACTGAGGCTGCCAATTAGTGATTTAGAGGTGAACTCTTATGTGCTCTGCAGTGAACTGAGGGCCTGCTTAAGTAGTCCTTGAAGAGCCTTTGGCCTTGTTATCACAAAAAACCTGCACTGACTTGAACCTGTGACCTAAAATTGAACATCTGTATATTCTGTTGGCCGTCCCCTGAGTTAGGAAAGTGAGCTTTGGAAATGCTTTGGTTATTTCTAAATCCAATTTGGCCTAAATACATATATTCTCAATTCAATAATATTTTAAAGGTAATCTTTTCAGAAATAGATAATAGTGGGTTTTTTTTCCCTTCTACTCTCCTCTTCTTAAAATTGCTTTTTAGAGAGAGGTGAGTAGATCTTCTCAACTCTACTGACTTTTATAAAATGGTATATGAGCGCCTTCATTTTCTTGTCTTGTCATCTGTCTTTTTCTGGTTCTAGAAATGGAAAGTAACAACAGCTGGGTATGATCATATCAGCGGGAAACATCCTCACTCCTGGCTGATTCACAAATTGCCCCTGTCTTGCTTGCCATTTCAGATAGAGGGACAGAACATAGAATGGACAAGAAAATTAAAGAAGCTACAGATACACACAAATCCTACTTACAGAGGTAAGGCAGGATCAGTAAATAAAGAAAGGATATACAAATGCCAAAGACCCCCACAAGAAAAAAAATGTAATGAAAGTAACGCAGAAAAATTAGATATGGAGAGAACAAAAGGAGACTCTGTTTTCTTAAGACAAAACACCCATTTAAAAATGTTCATTTTTTTTCACAGCTGATAAATAAAACATGGTTTGTATAAAATATTCTAAAAGGTCGGCAACTAGACAGTTATCATGGTAAACTTTCTCCTCTCTACCTGTTAGTCTTGTCTATAGCCTGAAAGAAATGACTGTCGAGGAGAAAAAAATCAACACTCTGCATCTTACACAAGGATGTCCTCCACCAGGGTGTGAAGGGCACTGGGATTGCGGATCAGTTTGTCAAGGAAGCTGACAATGTCAGTAAATTTTGGTCTGTGATTTCTCTCCTTCTGCCAACAATGGAGCATCAGCTGGTGTAGAGATGCTGGACAGCCCATGGGAGCCGGAAGTCTGTAACCTTCTTCAATGGACAGAATGACCTAAATGCAAACACACACAGGTTAGTCTCTTACTTTTCGGGACAAATAACACAACATATGCTAAGTTATAATTCCTTTTTTTTTTTAAAGATTTTATTTATTTATTTGACAGAGAAAGACACAGCGAGAGAGGTAACACAAGCAGGGGGAGTGGGAGAGGGAGAAACAGGCTTCCCGCAGAGCAGGGAGCCCGATCTGGGGCTCGATCCCAGGACCCTGGGATCATGACCTGAGCCGAAGGCAGATGCTTAATGCCTGAGCCACCCAGGCGCCCCCATAATTCCTTTTTATACGGGAAGTAGAAGACAAAATATTGGTAAGCATGAAAACTTGTAAGTACAAGCGCCCAAACAAAGATAAATACAAAAGTTGCAAGTATCTACATTAATATCTGGTGACACCTCTTTGAGTGAAATATGTTTTTAAACATGTGGTATTCAGAAGGGAGGTTAAGTTTCATCACAATTTCGAGAAATAGTCCTGTGTGATTTAGCTGGAACGTCTCCAAACCCAATTAGGACATCAGAAAGTCAGCATAAGATTGATATGTTTTGCGCAAGCCACATGTGACAAATGTTTTAAGTAAAATTGTACCTCTGTTGAAGCACTGAACTCCTAAGTCATTTTTTATCCTTTTGTAATAATGTCAGTGTGTATTCTTTTGCTGGCTATCATTCCTTCTTCCTTCTTTATTGCCTATTTAATTTCTCTTTGCTTACTTCTGCCTTTCCCTTAGTCTGGCCTGATGTGATTATGAAGTCCTCTCAGAACTTCTACGGTCATTCTATCCTTGAAATGCTATCAGTGGCTGGCCTAAGACCACAGAGCAACAGGATCATTCAAGCCTGCGTATCCTCAGGGCCAGCGTTCTCCAATAGAACTTTTTGTTCTCTCTGTCCAACATGATAGCAAGTAGTCACGTGTGGCTGTTGAGTGCTTGAAATGTGGCTAATAAGACTGAGGAACTGAATTTTGTGTTTTAGTTTATTTTAATTCATTAAAATTTAAATAGCCACTTGTGGCTGGTGGCTACTATATAGGACAGAGAGGCTCTAGGGAAAGGAATCTTTATAAGAAGCTGAGTTAAGAGTAACAACATGATGACAACAAGGTGGTTTTTTTTTTTTTTTGAGCTCAGGAAATCATATATAAGATAAGGCAGGAAAGTCATCTATTTCATATATGGCCCACCTGGGAATCTCCTAATAATGCAATATAATATAATGCAATAATGCAACTCTGAATTTATATAGCTTATTTTTTATGATGTGTTCAAAGTATTCATGTGGCCCTTTATCTTTTTTTTAATATTTTATTTATTTATTTTATAGAGAGAAAGAGAGAGCATGAGTGGGGAGAGAAGCAGAGGGAAAAGGAGAGATAATCTGAAGAAGACTCTGTGCCGAGTGTGGAGCCTGACATGGGGCTCAATCTCATGACTTTGAGATCACGACCTGACACCAAGATTTAGATGCTTAACCAACTGAGCCACCCAGGTGCCCCATCATGTGACCCTTTATTCTTATATCATCTCTGGGAGAAAGAAAAAGGAAAGGCTCCATTCCCCATTTTTGAGGTGGGCAGTTGAGGAACAGACTAATAGTTAAAGACAGGCACAACTCAACCTCATCACTGTCCTCCATCAACAATAGAAATACAAAAATGCAAGTGCTAAGATTGCTAACCGGAGATCTCTCTTTATTGTCGCATCAGCTACACACTTTCCGTAATTCGAAAAACACATCTTAATTTCTTTTTTAATTGACATTATTTGACAGGACTCTGAAAATATCCATAATTCATGCTAGAGGCAGTTTGCAAAAAGGAGCAATAATATGCCTACAAGAACCTCTTAACTGCTAAGCTTTAGCTTTTTGGTAATAGGGAACTTCTCATAATCCCATCAGTGTCTTTGTGACCAGAACACTTTAACCTGTCAGGATACTAGCATTTTTGTATTCATTTTATCCTGTTATTGAACAGGATTTTTTCCTATCTGTTTCCTGATTATTTTTGCTACCAACTAGCCTTGGATTTTAAGACCTCTTGCAACACATTTTAGTAAAACAGGATATATGTAAAATGCTTGTATAGCATCAAAACTACCGTGGATAGTTCTGAAAAGTAACTAAGAAATAGGATAGAATTCCATTATAAAAAGACTTTAAAATCCCACCCTATAAGAGCACTGTAGTTGATTTACCACAGTTACCTAATTATAAGTGCATAGAATAAAATAGATGACAAGTGAGGTTATATTTTGAGAAAAAAATATTAGCTGCTTTTATTATCTATCATGTGCTAGGTGATTTGCAACAGTTTCTTCATTGACTGCTTAAAATAACTCAATATGATAGTTGTTATTATCCCTATTCTTTTTTTTTTTTTTAAGTGGAGCCCAACCTGGGATTGAACTCATGACCCTGAGATCAAGACCAAGGTAAGATCAAGAGTTGGACGCTTAACCGACTGAGTCACCAAGGTGTCCCTTATTGTCCTTATTCTTATGTGAAAAAAAATTTAGACTCAGAGAGTTTAGGAAAATTGCCTAAATTCACACAGTATAGAAGGCAGAGCTGGCATTTAAATAGAGTTGCATTAGCTTCCAACTTTTCCTCTGACCATTCCCCAGAAATGCTTTTCAGTTCTCATGATAAATCTTCCTTTCCAATTTTATATCATTTAACAGGATTTTAGGAGTGATTTCCATGTTACTTTTTGTCATAGCACCTGGTAATTTGACTTCATTGTTTTTATTTGGATTTTAAATTTTATATTCTGGGTAAATCAAACACATATTTACTTCATAGTTTGCAAAATGTTATCTCAGCCTGAACAGAGTCATTTCTGAATGCTTCTGAGTCTTATACACATTTCTATTATTTCATCTATTACATTGTACTGTAACTATTCATCTGCTTTTCCGCTAGGGCTATACATACTTGAAAGCAGGAATTATGTCTGTAGATTTTACATTCTCATCATTTAGTGTGGTGCCTGACACATTAATAAATTTTATTGAACAAAACCAAAGTTATTAGAAGAAATTTTTGGATTTGTTTTGATAGAGCAGCAGATTCTTAGAAAACCTGAAGTTTTAAACTACCCAAGATGGATTCAAATTATGAGCATGGCAGCATTTGAAATCCCTTCTGAAGGAAAGAAGTATTAATCAAAAATTTGTGCATCAAGCAACATTCTCCAAAATGATCTCATGATCTCACTTTGGTTTGCCTGGACGATGACGAGTGAGACCGGGGCTTGCTATTCTCCAGCAGAGAAGGACTGGACTCAGACTCAGCTTTCTGTAAGACTGGTGGCTTCTTCCTCCTGTCTAGAGGGGTTACTATTTCCCAGTGGCTTCATGGTCCTTAGTTGACTTTCCTAGACAGCTCCTGTAAATAATTAACACCAATGCAGACTGCTTTGTGCCAAGTGGGTTGTTCATATTCTCTTTTGACAAAATTGCTCTCATAATTGTCCTATAAAAGGAGAGTGTGGTCCCTTGTCTGGAACCTTTACCCATAATGAGTTCAACAGTGTTTCTGGCCCCAGGATGCTTTTCTGTGGGGACAGTGACCTTTTCTTCTTGTTGACCTCTGACCTTTACATTTCCTTAATTCTTTAACTTGTGACCTTGTAAAATTTGTTGAGCCCTGTATCATGTCAGGTGTCATACATAAAGGGTCCTTGTAGGATAATAGTAACAACAGTAACAACAGTGACAATAACAGCTATTAGTGAGAGCTCTTGGATATTTCCAGGTATCCATTCTAAATGATTTACATGTATCAACTCTTTTAATCCTCATAATAACCCTGTGAGATAGGTACTATTGTTATCCCTATCTTACAGACAAGGAAGGTAAATAGAGAGAGGTTTAACTTGCCCAAGATTGCACTCCTAAATATTCTAGCTTCGAGGGAGCCAAAAGAAGAGATTTAAGCAATATGATCCACAAAATGGTTAAAAGACATCTTTCTAATGGATTTTTAAATTTAATCATCCAAAGATATATATATTAACCATTTAACATGTACTATTTTTTAAAAAAATTTATTTTATTATGTTGTTAGTCAACATGCATTACATCATTAGTTTTTGATGTAGTGTTCCATGATTCATTGTTTGCATATAACACCCAGTGCTCCATTCAATACATGCCCTCTTTAATACCCATCACCAGGTTAACCCATCCCCCCACCCCCTCCCCTCTAGAACCCTCAGTTTGTTTCTCAGAGTCCATAGTCTCTCATAACATGTACTATTGGGCATGCTATGTATAAGAGGTAACAAATGGGTAAGAAGTATCTGTCTTCAGGAAACATATAATCTAGTGAAGAAGACTGGGGAGTTTGACTGCGGTAAATGCCAAGTCGAACAGGGAGTTATGGGAGTATGTGGAAGAACTGCCTAACCCAGCCTTGGGAAGGCTTCTCAGTGGAGGTGAGCTGGATCTCACAGGAAATGTAGAAGGTTAGCAGGGTCAACTGGATAGGGTGAAGGGAGGAGATGGGACCTGATCAGGGAATGAAAGCAGATTTGTGCAGCTAGAATATAGACTTCTAAGGCTCTATTATTGTTCAAAGGCTGGGAGGTTAAGTAAAAATTATATTTCTTAGGATCATGAATGATTTTGTATGCTACAAATGATTTTTGCTAAGAGAAAAGTGTTTTAGCAAGTAAATGACATTAGATTTGCCTTTGGGAAGCCCGCTCTAGCTTCAGTGTGGAGAACATGTTGGAAGGAGAAGGAGGCCAAGAATGAGGCTTGCAATGATCCAGGCAAGATACCAGGATGGCCTCAGTGGAGGGAGGCAGTGGCTGTGGTATACAAGAAGTGGACTGATTTGGCAGAAACACAAGATAGGGTTAAGGTTAGATGTGGCAGGACAGGTTTTTGGCTTGGTCAACTAGTAAAGACAGAGGTCATGGGAGAAGAAACAATTTTGGGGCTGGAATGATGATGAGTTCAATTTCCTATGAGCTTTCTGGTTTCA